CAGATTAGATAGATAGATAGATAGATAGATAGATAGATAGATAGATAGACAGACAGATAGATAGATAGATGAATGGTAGACAGCAGCTGACATTAATTCTAAGTAGCTAGATAATTTAAGTTCAATAATAACATTGTAAAATGGTAAGAAGATGCCCAAGGATCAATTTTCAGCATAATACAGAAAGTCGAAAGAAATGAAAAACAGATTTACCCAGGCTAAATTTATACATGTTGTAAATGCTCAGATTTTTATGCTCCTATCTTTCTTCAATTCACTTCATTCTTGAAAAGCTTCATGGCTGACTAATTTATTTAAATTTTTCATTTTTCTTCATTTGTTCATGCATTTTGTCAATATTCTTGGGGCATGAATAATGCTCCAATTAGTGTGCAGAGGCAACATGGTACAAAAGAAAGGGTTGCTTGGTTAATAGATTAAAGGGTGAAAAACGGACCATTCTTTGCTGTGGTTACATATTAAACACAGCGACATGCAGAGAATTATCTGGAAATATGCCTTTAAGTATTAGTAGAATTTTTTTTCGTTTGGGCAAAGAATGTGGCAGCATGAGCAAATATACACTGAGCCAAAATCAAAGATGTTAGCCAGTTTCTCCTCAGAGTTCGTGGCTGCTGTGAGAGCCACATAATCTAGTGTGGAATTCCCTGTGCTTGTCCTAAAGAGGCAGAAAGATGAGAGAGAGAGAGAGGACACGAGAAAAAGTAAAGAACATAAAAGTGAAGCAAAAAGCAGAGTGGTCACTGAGAACAGATGTACTCAGAGAGGTCATCTACAGTCACAGAGATTGCAGAGGGTCAACTTACAGGAAACACCATCAATCAAAAGATCAAAATAAGGAGTACAGTCCCATGACCTCAGTGGCAATCATAGTATTGATCGATTGACTGATGCATTTCTTTTGTGACAGGGTCTCCTGTATCCTAAGGGCCTCAAACTTACAGTGGAGCTCAAAGGTGTCCTTGATTTTTTGATCCATTTGTCCTCCCATCCTGAGTGCTGGGGTTATCGGCCTGTAGAGTCAGTCCTGGTTTATTAAGTGAGTCTAAGGATGGGGCCCAGGCTTCAGGCCGGCTATGCAAGCAATCTATGAATTGAAGTGTATCTCCCGGTACCCCAATCACCTGTACACCAGGTCTTCAGTCTAAGAACTGGTTTCTTTCTCTTTGTAAAGCAGAGCCACTGCACAGAAAACCAGCAAAACTCAAGACACTGTGTCACTCAGTCATCCTTTGTGCCTGGCTAAGCAGTAGAAGCCTGGCTACTTTTGCTCTGGCTATTATTGCTTAATACATAATTACTGAAAACCACAATTAACTATTACAGTTTTATAAAGGGAAGCCTTAGCATCCCTGGAAAAGAGTTTGTTCTTAGGAGGAAAAGTGTCCTTCAGTTCCAAGCAGTCCCACACAAGTCCTCATGCAATGGAATGTTTCAGTTATAAAGAAAAATGAGCTCATGCCACCTTTCAGGAAATTTTATGTGACTGGAGATGATCATATTGAACAATTTAAATCCCTCTTAGAAAAAAAAAATCAGTTACGAAAACCCAACTTCTATGCTTGCAATTGTCTACCTAGATTTTTTTAGCCTAAAGTTCTAGAAGTGATATTTACCAATAGAAATTGAAACATAAATATTTGGTTTATATGTGATATATTCTGCACAAGTCCTAAGAACTGACATCTTTAAAACAAGGAGCTAGAATAAAGTGAATCAGTACATAATGTAAGCAGTGCCTAATAGCAGAAATGAGAGCCAGAACTGAACACTTTCAGTCTCTTTCAGGAAGTCAGAACGCAGTGATGTGAATTCCATGATCCTGACTATAGTACTTAATCTGATTTGGTAGCATCTACGTATTAAATAACTTTATAGGTCCTATGTCTCACATTTCACATTACACCTATACTGTTATATTTAAATACATAAAATATCACTATATGTAATAAAAATATGATCATACTTACAATCTATTAAGTACTATCTGCAAGTATTTATGTTCTGGATAACATTATGATTACATATAATTTATTAAACAAGTATGATTATACTTAAAATTTATTAAACACTAAGTGCCAGTGTTTGTGTCCCAGATAATATTTTCATTTTGTGTAAACATTATGCATATAAAATGCATTGCCCATTATGCATATATGAAGAGACACTATTATCCCCAATTTGTTTACAATATAACATTGTCTTAGAATCATTAAGCTGGAAATTCTAATTGCTCCAATTGGAAGCCTGTCACAGCCAACATTTTTACCTCTGTGCTTTCTTAAAAGAGGCTCTGATGATCCTTTCTAGCATAAGAGATTTTTAAATTAACTTTTCAGTTCACATTCTTACATAGTCAAAATCAACCCAATAAAACCACAAGCTTGAAGCAAAGATGATGTGGTTAACATCTCCCATGAAATGGTTAACACCTGAATGTGTGTCAGCCTTCCCCAGTTAGTGCCTCACTCCCAAAGCAGGTAGGCATGGAAACATGAATAAGTGTTGCTGCATCAATTCGCATAGAGGAACCACACTCCAAACACAAAGTCATCCTTTGTCTTCCATCTTAAAGGTCAAGGTGTCCTGAAGGACCTAAGACCCCTTTTCTGATAAAACTTTACTTTGCAGTGAATTTGAGACAACAGTAACAAAGACAACAAAACCCCTGCTCCCAAAAGGAAACATGTCTGCAATAGAGGACTATCCTTTTAGCCACATTGCCACCATTTTCAGCTCTTGTGAGCCTGCTCATAGGGGAGGAGGAGGAGGAGAAGAGGATCATGAGACCCTCACCCAAGTATCCAACCACCCCGCCCATGAACAATTTCATGTAGTTCTGCCCCAATTGCACTAGGCTTAGAGTGTTGGGGAAGGGACTAGTGTATGTAGATTGGGAAGGGTGAGGGGAGTGCAGCCAGGTATTGTCATCAAACCTGCTGGGAACAGACATTCCAATATGGCTGCTTTAAGGTCATAGCTGCTCCTGTCTGTAACCCTTCCCCCAATGCCCTATAAATAAGCCTAATAATTCATTGGTTCTTCCTTGGAGTAAGGAAATCATAATTAAGTTTGTCCTTGAAACATTAGAAATGGGGGTTTGATGTTTATGTCTCCTTCAGGGAAGTTATTTTGACAACAGTGACTAAGATAATTTTTTTTAATTCCCTTTTTAAAATTTTACTGCCTTTAGTGTTTTCCTCAATAGATCATATATATAGAAGAAAATTGGTAAGAGGGAAAAAGGAGAGTTGACAAAGGGCAAGTGAAAGAAAGACCCTTATAAAGCTACGACTAGAACCTGCAGGTCCTTCCGGCTCTGGGGGACAAAAAAAAAAAAAGTCTTCTCATGAGTTAGATATGTCAAAATCTACATAAGATAGCCCCAGTATGATGGTACACACTTGTAATACAAAAGCTCAGAGTTAAAGATACATGGGTGTCTGAGGTTAGCTAGCCAGCCAGCCAGCCTGCTGGCAGGTTCCAGACAAATGAGAGACCCTGCCTCTACAGAAAAGAAAAGGTGGATAGAAATTGAGGAGGACAACTGACACTGACTGACATTGACCTTTGGCCTACACACACACACACACACACACACACACACACACACACACGCAAATCAAATTAGTTACATAATCTATACTAAGAATTTTAACCATCATTCCAAGTCTATGAATCAAATGTATTAGATGAAGTACAATGGAAACATAGCACTAAGAGTCTGTACCATTTCATTTAACCTATAAAGGGGGCTGAATTATGATGAAGAGGTTAATCCCTTTCCTGAAGACCTGCCATTAGTAAGGGGCAAACTCGCCCTTGAACAAAAGCAGGCTGAGCTCTAAAATAGTCACCCTGCATACATGCTAAACACAAGATATTTTCACTTTTTCAGTGTCACTACCTAGGTACTGAATAATAATTCTGGATAATGTAAAGCATTGGGAATCAATGTGATACCAGGCTTCTGAGTAAAACCGTAACTAATAGTCATCAGGCACTCAGGGCTAAATCAGCATGACATTAGTTACCATGAGATATTAGGCTACTATGCTGAAATTTTTACAGTCCTGATCTCACAAAAAGTATGAATAAATTCAGTTATAAGGCTGAACATTCTGAGATTTGGGGTTTCTAGATACAGACTCACTTTCTCTGCTCATAAGTTAAAATGTGAAATAAAAGGGTACCAAAGATTATAACGAATTGTTCAAAATGAAAAAAAAAAATGTTTGTGTTGAAAAAACTCCTGATCAAGAGCACAATGCTTCAATAATTACTAAACAGACACACAGAAACTAACCTGCCTAGTGTTACGATTCCCAGTAACAGAATCAGATTCATTACAACATTGGAGATGTATCAAAAAATTAAACATTCTCATACAGAATTAAGTGATGGTCTTCCATAAGGAGCCCATTTAGCTGACAGCCTTGTGGTGATGAGTTTTTAGCTGTCTACTCAACACAATCTAGAGTCACCTTGTAAGAGAGTTTTAATTGGGCAATTATCTATGTCATTTTGGCCTTGAGAACATCTTTAAGAGAGTGCATTGATTTTTCAAATATTGTGGTAAGACCCCGTCCACTGTGAGCGGCATCATTCCCTAGGCAGGGAATCTTAACTGGAATGAGAGTGGAGAAATTCAGCCGACCACAAGTAAGCAAGAACATATGAATTAATTTCTCTTTGCTCTTGACTTTGGATGTGCAACAAGCAGCTGTTTGAATTTTATGCCTTGGCTTCTTCACAATGATGGTTGTAATTTGGGCTTATTACCCAAATAAACCCTTTCTTCTCTAAGTTGCTTTTCATCAAGCTATTTTACCCCAACAACAAGAATGAAACTAGGACACTAGATAAGCAAGGAAAATTCTTTTTTTTTTTTCATTTAATAAATCTGTCCTCTGAGGCACAAGAGCATAATTATGAAATCTTTAGATCCATTTATTTTAATTAAAAAATAAAATACTTACATTATTAAGAGAAGAGCATACTGGTTTTTCTCCATAAAATCTTTGGGAAAGGACAACTGTAAAGGAAGTTCTTTTAAAGAAAGAGCAAAATATTAAAGATGGAGAGTCATTTAAATGCAAAAGTATAAGATGCAGAGAAAGCTGTTCTTGAAGGGTGAAGCATGTGCCAAGCTTTACCATAGTCGTCAATGTGAAGTATTCTAATCTCTGTCTTTGCGAGCTTCTTCTTCTGGATAGTTTCTTTCATCATAGAGTTGCTTTCCAAGATGAAATACTCTGAAAACCAGAGATTAAACGTCTGTGGAGCACCCAGCCAGAAATTGTTCATCCACATCAACTCCTCCCACCCAAAACCCACACACATTATACACACTGCCCCAAGCTCAGGGAATATTGTGGAAGAGAAGATTTTAAGAATCAGAAACCAAGATGGACCTAAGTGAACAGTGTCTTTGAGAGATGATAGGAACCATTGCACTCATGAACTCACAGCAGCCATGGTTTTCTGCTCAAGGTCACTGAACATTCCAGCATGGAGTGGGGAGGGATTCCAAAGTCCCCACGTCTAGCCTGGAAACTACTGATTGCTAGTGGAGGAAGCACTCTTTTTTTAAAGGTGTGGACTGGTCAGGCTCTAGTGTTAGGCATTGTGGCAGGCCCTGAGGAAAATCTCTTCTGGTCTCATAAATCACTCCAGGGGTCTTCTAACTGACCTTCCTCATTGCAGTGGATTTCCTCCCATTTGTTCCAGTACAACAGAATTACCATTTACATTTTCAAAATTAAAGTATGGTCATGCCACTACTGTCCTTCAGAATGTTTAAAAGAATACAAAATTATGTAGCAGTAAATAAGATGAAATTTGAATCATTTGGATTACCAATATGAAAACTCAGGATTAGAACAAAATGTAGTCAGTAGGAATAACCCAGAAATGACCTACACAATATCAGTCTCAGATGAAAAAGTTAAAATTATAGCCCAACTGTTTAATAAGCTGGAAAACCACAAACTAGAATTCCAAAACTAAAGAAAGAAAATATATGTGATAATTATAGTCTAAGAAAAAAAAATTGCAAGTGGTATCAATAGAACATTAGATGCTACAAATGCCATTGATGAACTAGAAACGATAACAAAATACTAGCGATGAAATAAAAGTTTAAAAATTGGCTAATATTTGTGGGGATTGGCTCAGCTTGTAAAGCTGTGTATCCCCTAGCCTTAGTAGCTAACGCTGACCCTAAGGACCTGCGTGGTAGAAAAGCGGCATGTTGTCTCCTGGCCTGTGCATGTCTGCTGTGACGTGCAGTGCCACACAATGAATAAATGAGAGTAATTGCACTTAATAGGTTGACTGACTATGCAAAGCACACGAGAGGCTTTCTAGAATTTTACATATGTTTCGTTAAATGTAAAAATAAATTTGAGGATACTGTACATACTGAAATAAGTGACCCTTAAATACAAGTGTGTGTGTGTGTATCTGAGTTTTTGATGTCTCTCTGACATATATGATATTTTTTAGTTTATGGGGCATTTTTTACCTAGATTCATTCCTAGGTATAATGCCAAAGTTATTCTAAGTATCTTAAACTACATTTACTCTTTTTCATGTTTGTAAGATATTTGAAATATAGATCCATATATAATATATACATGTAATCATGATAAATTTGCTCTTTTTAATAGTTTTTCTTTTTGTAGGACATAGGTTTTACTTGTTTTTTAAACAGATTTTTTGTATCCAACTATGACTTCAGCAAATAAAGGCAGTTTTACTCTTATTATTATTGCCTTTTTCCCGGCTGAGTCTTCTAAAAGAATGTTCTATAGAATTGGTTGGAGAAAGCAAGATGGCCTTTCTTGTTTCCAGAGTAGCATCTGTCGTTCAATGTTACAAGAATTCCTTTTACAGTCTTGTATTGACCATTTGAAATTACTATGACTGTATTATTAAATGTTTGTCTAAATTATCAAGTGCTTTTCTCTAAATCATTTTTGAGTCTCATATAAATATGACAAATCACATTGACTTAGGGTATTTCAGCAACATGGAATGAATAAACATTGTGCAATCATAAAATGTTAGTCATTTAATAAATTACTAAATGAAATATGTAGAAAGGGAGTTTCATAACTAAGTGCCTGGAAAATTTTTAACTTTTTCTTTTCTTCTCTGTCTTTTTCTTTTGTGTGTGTGGTGGTGGGCAGGTGGCAGTATCTGTCTTGGAGATGCTACAGAACCAACTCACATGGTTCTTCAGGTGCAGTCTTCTTTCTGTTGTTGTCTGAGGCAGGGCCTCTTACTGGCCAATGAGCTCCAGAAATCATTCTGTCTCTTTCTCTTTAGACGGAGATTGAAGTGTTCCCCACAATACTCTGCATCATCATCATCATTATTATTATTATTATTATTATTATTATTGTTATTATTACGATTTGGGGACTGAACTTAAGACCTTGTGCTGGCAAGATAAGCACTTCACCAACTGGTTCGTTTCAGGCAGGAGTTCTTTGATTTGATTCTGAATTTGAAGTATAGGTAACAGATTATCGATGGAGGTTTCCTTCCTTTCTTAGAAGGGGTCTCATTATGCCTCCATGTTGGATTTGAACTCTTCTTACAGCCTAACGTAATCTGCAGTCTGATATTGACCCTCCACCGCCTCCCAAATACTACAGTTAGATGTGTACTACACTACCGCATCTGCCTGGAGCTCTGTCCTCTAGAAAAGCTTGTGTGTATTTGATGGTACATTCACCAAGCATTGTGTAGAATACACCAGTAAAGCCTTTTACTTTCTATTTGCATTTTAAATCTATGGTTCCATGGAATTTGGTTTTCTTCTTGTCTGATGAAACGCATGTAGTTACATTTAACCAATGTTATGCACAATGGGTGGATCTAACACTTTTTTTTTTTTTTTACTGGTTTTCTTCTCCTTTTATCATGGCCTTCTACAGTTTGAATTTTCTGTCTATCAATAGGATTTTTACTAGAATTTATGTTATTTGGCCTTTTGTTTATTTAACAATTTTTTAATAATAGTTTGGTGATTTCTGGCTATTATTTCATCATTTTTTACAAGCTTTGTTGCCTTTTTTATTACAGCCAAAGATGAGACATAGAAACGGGCCCATCGTCAACAGAGGTCATTGACTTCTTTATGTATTTCTTTGTGTATTTCTAGAAGGTCTCTTTTGATACTGTTTCAAACCAACAACCTGATTGATTCTTTCTTTGATAGTGCTCATTTCAAATATTTTATGTTTACTGATTTTATTTATAAAATCATATCTCGTTTTACTCACTTTTTTGTATTTTCTATATTTTAATCATCTACTTATTATAGTGAGACCCTAGCTTTCCTGCTGGTATTGTTTGCTGTGCTGGGAATAGAGCCTGGTGCCTCACATCTGCCAAGTGAGTGTCTTACCAATGGGTGTTACCCTCAGCCTAAGAAAGCAAGAGAAATGATCATGCTCTATCACAATCCATCCATTTCTGTGTATTCCTTGAGATAGACTTCTATTGGTGATCTCATTCCCAGCAAATTTTGGCTATTTTGTGGGCTTTTTTGAGACTGAGATTCTCTATGTAGATCTGGCTGTCCTGGATTCACTTTGTAGAACAGGCTGGCCTTGAACTCACAGAGATCTTCCTGGCTCTGCTTCCCAAGTACTGAGATTAAAGGTGTGTGCTACCATTCCTGGCTCAAATTACTGCTTATTCCTGTCCTGTTTCCTGTTTTCTCCCTCTTCTGATTTCCATCCCATTTGCCTTTCTGAGTGAGGATTGATCATATTATCCAGGGTCCTCCTTCTTGCTTAGCTTCTTTAGGTATACAGATTTTAGTATGATTACCTTATATTATATGTCTAATATCCACTTGTAAGTGAGTATATACTATGTGTGTCTGTCTGCTTCTGGGATACCTCACTCAGGATGATCTTTTCTAGTTTCCACCAAATGCCTGACAATTTCATGGTTTCCTTGTTTTTAATTGCTGAGTCGTATTCCACTGTGTAAAAATACCACAATTTCTGTATCCATTCCTCTGCTGAGGGACATCTGAGCCTACCACAGAAGGCCTCTGAAAGACCCTACCCAGCAGGGTATTAAAGCAGATGCTGAGACTCATAGCCAAATTTTGGGCAAAGTGCAGGGAATCTGACGAAAGAAAAAGGAGATAGAAAGACCTGGAGGGGACAGGAGCTCCACAAGGAGAGCAACAGAACCAAAAAATCAGGGGTCATTTCTGAGATTGATACTCCAACCAAGAACCATGCATGGAGATAACCTAGAACCCCTGCACAGATGTAGCCCATGGCAGCTCAGTTTTCAAATGGGCTTCCTAGTAAGGGGAACAGGGGCTGTCTCTGACATCAACTCAGTGGTTGGTTCTTTGATCACTTTCCCCTGAGGGGGGGAGGGGCAGCTTTACCAGGCCACAGAGGAAGACAATGAAAGACAGTCCTGATGAGACCTGATAGGCTAAGGTCAGATGGAAGGGGAGAATGTCCTCCCATATCAGTAGACTGTGGAAGAGGCACGGAAGGAGAGGAGAAAGGGAGGGAGGATTGGGAGGGGATGAGGGTGGGGGCTACAGCTGTGATACAAAGTAAATAGTCTGTACTAAATAAAAATTATATTAAAAAAGCTTAAGCTACTTTAACAGTACTCTAAAATAATCTGCTTATTAAATATCTTTTCAATAACAAATTATGAGCAATATGTTTTCTGATATTCCTAAAACTCACCCACCTTGTGTTATTTAAATGCTAACACATTTTTATGGAAGCTATGACAACATTTCATAATGAGTGTTATGAAGTGTGAATTCATATTTCAAACAATTTAATTACACTTTCATTTATACATGTACCAGTGTGTGTGTAAACATGTGCAAACCATGGCACACATTTGGAGGTCAGAGCACAATTTTATGGGGCTCTTTCCTTCTCCCTTGGGTGCCTGGGGAGCTGAACTCATGAGCCTGGCAACAGGTCCTTTCACCCACTGAGCTATCTTACTGGCCATAAAACTGCAAATTCTTACTCTGTAGAATCCACTAATAGTAATAAATCCTACTCTAAGCACTGTTATAAAAGCACAATATTCTGTAGAAATCAACAACTTTCTGCCAACATCACTTGATGTTGTTAGTACAAATGACATGACATTAACATTTGCTGAATTTTTATCCTTATACCTATAAATACAAATCTTATCTAACATTGTTTTATAAATGTGTAGTAGATTATTGAATTAC